AGGTAATAGATGGGCCTTTCGACACCATGCTCATCCTCTTGAGCCAGCATGCTCCCTAAAGTTTTATCAGACGCAACTATGTACAATCTCATACTTCTACTTTGACAAGGAGGTACCAAAATAGGTGGCTTGGTGAGGTACTCTTTGATTTTGTCGAAGGCTTCTTGATGTTCTTGCCCCCACTCAAATCCTCCTTTGCTGAGTCAAAGTAGTGGCGAAAAGGCTTGCGTTTTCCCACTGAGGTTGGATATAAATCTCCTTAAGAAATTTATCTTCCCAAGTAAGGATTGCAATTCCTTCTTGTTAGTTGGCGCTTTGGCTTCCAACATAGCTTTGGTCTTGTTTTGGTTTATCTCAATTCCCTTTTTATGGACCACAAAGCCTAAAAAATCTCCTGCTTTGACACCAAAAGCACATTTTAGAGGGTTCATCTTCAGACCATAACGTCTCATCCTCTCGAAGGATTATCGAAGATGATCCATGCGAGTCTTCCCTGAAACAGATTTGACAACAATATCATCAATATAAATCTGCATGAAAGTTTCAATAAAATCATGGAAGATCGAATTCATGGCTCTCTGATATGTTGCCCCTGCATTTTTCAGGCCAAAGGGCATCACTACCCATTCGTAAGTGCCTAAGGCCCCAGGGCAACAAAATGCCATTTTCGACACATCCTCTTCAGCAATAAAGATTTGATTATATCCAGAGTAGCCATCAAGCATACTCATGTACTCGAAACCAGTGGCAGAATCGACAAGCATTTCCGCCACCAGCATTAGATATTCATCTTTGGGTGTTGCAACATTCAGATCTCTAAAATCAATGCACACCCTTAGGGTACCATTTTTCTTTATAACAAGCACGATATTTGCAATCCATTTGACGTACCTGGTCGTTCGGATGAACTTGCATCTCAGCAGTCTCTCGATTTTCGTTTTGATTTTTGATAAAATCTCTGGTACAAAACGCCTTGGAGTTTGCTTGAAGGGCTTCTTTCCCGGCTTTATTGGCAATTGTAGTTCTACCAAACTTCTGTCGAGACCAGGAATCTCGTCATAATCCCACGCAAAGCAATCCTTGAACTATTTTAGAAATTGAATCATTTCGACCCTGAGTCCTAGATCTATCTTTGCACTGATGTCCATCAGCTGTTTTACAAGACCTTCGCCTAGGTTTACCTCTTCTAGAGGGTCTTGCGCTAACATTCTAACATTGTTCGCCAACGAGTCCTTTTCGAAACCTAGAGGTTCATCATCATAGATAGCGTCTAACCTCTGATCTCGAAGGTCTTTCATTTCTAAGTCGGGAGGCTCTGGGTCAAAATCTTTCCCAGGGCCTTTTTGAGAAGGGACCTGTTCATTGGCTTTGAGGGCCATATATTTAACTTCAGCCTCCAAGGCCGCTATCATTCTACTTTCGGCTACATATGCCGAAATCTTTCGCAAAGTTTGTGACTCAGTCATCGTCACCAAACTCACTTCCCTAGCCTGTTGGCCGTATATCATCAACTCCTCCATAGTCGATGTTTGACAAGTCTTCTCTATCCCACTGAAAGCCGTAGTCGGAGTGTAGGTATAGAGAGCAGAAGGCGTTAGGTGCTGGAGTTAGATCAAACTCAGGTGGATTACATGGCCCTATATGATCCAAATTTCTGTCGAAACTATTCTTTTTGACACTGTTGATTTCGCCTAAGTAATAACTCTGATCTGCCTCAATGTTTTCCACGATACCATCGGGGCGCCATATCGTGACCCTCTGGTGCATCGAGGATGGCACTGCACCGATGTCATGTATCCACTCTCGACCCAAGAGCAGATTATAGTTTGGTTTTGCTGAGATCACCATGAACATGGTGGGTCGAAGGATTGATCCCACTTTGAGGTCTAGTTGTATGACGCCCATTGTGGTGCCAATGCCTCCTTCATAATTGGACAAGACCATGTTATAGGGCTTGATGTCAGCATCTCCCTTTCCCAGCTTTCCCAACATGAATTGTGGGATGATATTTATGGTCGCCCCACAATCGACCAGAATTTTATTTATAGTTATTTCCCCTATCTTTGCTCCGATGAACAAGGGTTTTAGGTGATTTTTCATCGCCTCCGTTGGTGGCTCGAAGAAGGCGTTCTGTTCCTCCACGCAGCCATTATTCATTACATAGTAACATACTGGTCTGTGTCTGGCCATTTCTTGCTCAACCATTAAGTCAGTTTCTTCAACCTCGACCTGACGGTTGTATTCTTTAGGCATCACCGATATGACATTCACCACGATGTCCAAAGTGTCATCAGATTTTGAGTTACCCTCGTCATTCGACCCACATTCTTCCAGCCATGCCATATGATTCCTCTCTAGAGGCTTCCTTTGTTTTCTTTGCACATTGGTGCTAACTTCTGGGTGAGGCCCCGCTGCCTCTTTTTTGGCTTTTCACTGTCTTTGGAATCTTCTCCATTGCGAACGGGACATATGGTTTTTCCCTCTGTAATTGCTCGATATATGGGCCATTTTATTTGACGTCGAAGCATGGTACTCCTTTCTGTAGTCTAAAGAGGAACCTCTTGGCACATCAAACGCCTGCCATCTCTCTTTATTTGGCCTCTTTCTTCCCATGGTGTTAAGCCAAGTATCCCTAGGTACATTCGTTGGAGGCCTAAAAGTTGGTGGCCTCTTTACCTGACTCACGGATCCTTGTTGATGCCCCCTTCTGGACCCATTCTTTGTTGGGCATTGGTGCCCTGTTTTGCTTTCACAATTCTCATACCTTGTATGTGTTCTGCGGCTTTCTTGTCAAAAATAGAGCTGCATCTAGGACACAACATTACTTCCGATTTTTCTTCTGGCATCTGTGTAGAAAGTCTGCCAGATCTTCATTCTCTTTTGGAAATGCCGTTTTATTCACTTCCACCTGTCGAATAGCTTCCTCTGAGGCCTTGGCGTCAGAGACTTCGACCATGTTGACCTCCATGTTGCTTTTGGCAACGAGATTCATTTTTTGAATTATGGCCTCTAAATCCTCTATCGAACCTTTCACAACAGCCAAGTAAGAACCTGTGGTGGTTCTTTTGTTTGAGCCCTCAGTAACTCCTTTGTTTTTGTGTGGGTCTTCAGTAACCCTTTTATTCAGTTTCAGGCCTTCAGTGGCCTTTTTGTTTGAGCCTTGGGCAACTCCCTTCTTCAGATCTAGGCCTTCAATGGCCTTTCTCACTCCTTCGATAGTTTTCCTGGATATGTTTCCAGTAAAACTTCCAAAGGTGGGTTTAGTAATAAAGTCTTCAGAAACTTCCACCATGTGAATCCCGACTGGCTCAACATAATGTGCCTCCATCTGCAGTGGGTTTGCGTCGATTTTCATTGCTGGCTTATCAGCAAATTTCAGCCTTCCTTCTTTTAGCGCTTGTTGAACAAGATACCTGAAAAGGAAACATTGTGAGGTTTTATGGCCCAAAAAATTATGGTATTTACAAAAACCTCTTTTCTTTCTCTGTTATAGAGGCGGAAACTTTGCCCCTAGGGGCACTATCATCTGGCCATCTTTAACTAATAAATAGAATATTTTGTCACATTTGGATATATCGAAACTATAAGTTTTCTTAGGGAATTTGTCGTTGTTTTTCTCAGGCTCTACAGGATTTTTCCCATTTGATGGCACTAGCAATTTACAAGAGTATGGTGGTCCTTGTTTTAATTTTTCTAAATCTATTTCGCCTTCTTCGACATCTATAGGATCACTAGATATATCTGGATCGTTATCATCCATTTCGACATAGGCTACCCTTTCTCTTCGATGAGTTTTGGTAGCTTTAGCTTTCTCAGCTTTAAGGCGTTCTACCTGTCGAACTCTATCGGCTAGTTGTGCCATATCTCTCAGGTATTGAGTATCTAACTTTTTCCTAATTGAATAATCCAGGCCCCCTACTGCTATTTCGACCAATTCATGTTCAAGCACTTGGGTAAAGCATCTGGCTTTAAGTAATCGAAACCTATTTAAATACTCATCGATTGGCTCAATGAATCTTCTCTTCACACTAGCCAATTTCTTTAGACTTATTTTGGTCTGTCCCATGTAAAATTGTTCATGGAACAATCTTTCCAATTGGTTCCAGTTATGGATCGAATTGGCTGGGAGGGTGGTGAACCAAGTGAAAGCATTCTTTGTTAGGGAACTTGGGAAATATTTGATCCTAAGGTTTTCGTTGTTTGCTATTTCCCCGACGTCTATCAAATATCTAGCTACATGTTCGATAGTAGATTCTGTCGTATCCCCTGAAAATTTGGTAAACTTGGGGACCTTTCCCCTGGGGGGTAAGTCTGTTTGCAGAATATATTCTGACAATGGGGATGTGAAGTTTGGTATGTGAAAACCAATGTTCATCCCGTTTTGAATCATAATCCTTTCGATCATGGCAGTTAAATTATTGTCTGTTCCGTAATTTTGGTGTCGAACTTGCTGTATCAATTCATCAGCATTTTGATTTCTATTTACCATAATCACTCCTTGATCGATTTCTCTAGGGATTGGTGGGGGATTTCGTGGTATTTCGACCCTCGGTTGTTCCATTTCTACTCTAGGGATCTGAGGATTTGGATTAACGGTCAAATCCTCTTCCATGATTGCCCATTGGTTTGCTCTTATTGGTATCCTCTGGGGTTGTCGAATAGTTTGGGGTACCCCAAAGAATTCAGCCATGCGCGTCATTTGCACTGTCATTTGTTGGTTCGACTGAGTAGCATTTTGAATGAGGGGATTTAGCACTGTACTTAGAGTTTGTGCTAACATTTGCACCATATCATGATTACTTTCGTCCATCTGTTACCTCAAAATTACTGTCGAAGTATTTGTGAGGCTTGGTATTGTATGAGATGGCCCTCATAAGAATTGGTTTCTACCCAAATTTGCCATACTGGCTCCAGATCCCTGTAATGGCGATGATGCATTCACCAAAGGTTCTGAAAAAGTGGAAGCAGCGTTCATAAAGCTAGCCATTTCAGTGGTTGGTATGCCATATGGCTGTTCTCGACCCATCCAGGTTGTCGAAAATCCTGGGGGCACGAATGGTCGAGATCCTGGATTTGCCCTTGGTGGGGGCGTTCCTAATGGACCTCTTGGACCTACATACGAAAGTAAGGGTCCTGTTTGATTTGTGGTTAGCGTCGGTATTGATCTAACGGAAGTTGGGATATTCCCTTCGACGACGGTAATAACCACTGTTCCAGTAATTGGTGGAGGTATTTCTTCATGATTTGGCTCGTTAGCCATACTGCTCTCGCTATTTTTCTTCCTAACAGTACACTCGTTGGTTACTCTACCACTTCTTAATAACATGCAACGTTATAACTGTACAGAAGAAACGCAATAACATAAACAAGATATTTAATAAAAATTAGCAACGTCCCACCAGGTGTGCTAATTTGTTTACCGTGGTTTTTGGTAAACAACCGTTGATCCTCCAAAAAGGAAAATTCTTTTGGTTACTCGCGGGATCGATCAGATTGATCCCAGAACATATGCTAATTTTTATACTGGGTTGATGTAAGTAAGAAAAGAAATCTAAGAAGAACGCACTTCGACCAGAGACAAGATACTTGAGGTTTTGAAAAATAAGAAAGTAAATAGAAATGTAGAAATGCAGGTAAAGATACAAGAAAGGTAACTTTGCAGAATAAGATTAAAGCAATGTAAAAGACTTTTATTAATGAAAAGAGGTGTTTCCAACGTACATTTCTCAATTTATCCTTTCTCACACAGCGGGTACTTGGACAATATTTGAGAAACTAGCACAATAGGTTGAACACACCGAAAAACTACACAGATTTCCTAATTTATACTACAACTATGTAACCGTCGAGGGGTGGTTCTGCGCTAAGATGAGGACAAGTGTCCTCTGCATGTCCCTCGACCTCTAGCTTCCAGCCACGTTGCTTTCCTTTAGCCACTTGCGAAACTGTCTTTCCCTCCAATAATTCAAATTCAAATGTCCCTTGCCTTTTGCTGTCGATGCGAGGATATTTTCTTCTAGTCGAAGGTCATCAGACTTTCTCCGTCGAAATCTTGAAAGTGGGTCCTGGTCGAAGACTCAAATATAACTTAGATTTTTTTTTCTCTAAGTCATTTCACACGTCGAAACATTCTTCAGGTTGGTTTTATTTATTCCAGTTTTGGTCTAAAAGACCAAATATAGTAGGTGTCGAATTCAGGAGCCAACAGTATCACACATTTTTTTCAAATCTCTTTTTTAGTTAATGATCAAGTGGTTTATTCACTAATGTCCATATCATGCACAACGTGCCAGATCTCTTGGATTTAATTACTAATGTGTTTTGACATTGATCCAATATCTACATTTTTTTATTTTATTTTTATTTTCTGATTTTATTATTAACGGTTTTAAACTTCAAAAATTCATAAAAAATTCATTTCAATTTATAAAAATGTGAAAAAATTCTCAAAAATACTTTTGCTTTTTATCTTTCTAATTTTTATTTTTTCACAATTTTATTTTGTGATTTGATATTTTTTATTTTGAGATACATTTGGTTTTGCTGTTGCTCCTGATCCTTTCAAACCAGAAGATATACCACCAATATGCAGGTAAAGTACTAACCATTAATTTGGATTCTTATTCTCCAAATCATAACCAGATTTTACAATTGTTACATTACATGGCATGTAATCATGTTAATTTGAATTATTTTAACCGTTGACGAGCTAATTTGTACTTGCAGATATATTGTGATTGAATATTCCCAGAATATAAGAGATTTGGGTTTCAAGATCTTTGAGTTGTTGTCAGAGGCACTAGGACTTAATCCTTCTTATCTCAAAGAGTTGAATTGTGCTGAAGGACTCTTTATATTAGGTCATTACTATCCTCCATGTCCTGAACCTCAATTAACTATGGGCGCTTCCAAGCATACTGATAGTGACTTCATCACATTACTTCTACAAGATCAACTTGGTGGTCTTCAAGTTCTTCACAAGGATAAATGGGTCAATGTTCCTCCGGTACACGGAGCTCTTGTTGTAAATATTGGAGATCTTTTACAGGTAAGGCTTTAAAGTTATTGTTCTCTCTTTTCATTAGATCGAAGCCTGGTATGAACTTCATGGATTATATGTTTTGAAAATCGATGTTGATAATCGGTTCCATGTTGCAACAATTTATCAATTTCTTTTATACTGTTGTGTTGCAGCTTATCACAAATGACAGATTTGTTAGTGTTTTTCACCGAGTCTTATCACATAACATAGGCCCAAGAATTTCTCTTGCAAGCTTCTTTGTGAATAAGTCTGAACCAATTCAAGGAGTATCGAAGATTTATGGTCCTATTAAGGAATTGCTTTCAGAAGAAAACCCTCCAATCTACAAAGACACTACTATAAAAGATTTCTTAGCACATTATTATGCAAAAGGCCTTGATGGGAATTCTTCCTTAGAGCCCTTTAAGTTGTGAATTCAACATGCGAAAAATGATATTTATTCTCTTGGAGCTGGCCTTATATATCTGTATAACCACACATTTTCTGTTGTGTGTTTTATATGTATCAAGTTTTCTAGACCAAAATAAATGAATTATCTATGCTTGTTGACATTTTTTAAAATAATCATGTTGAACTGCAGAACTATAACTAAGAACTTCTAAATTTTAGGAAGTATTTGATTATATTTTTACATGTATGAGATAATATAGCGAATGTCACTAATTTTCACACAGGAAAAAGTTGTAAGGCAAATTAACTTTTTTGGTGTAACTAATTGTAAGACAATATAAACTAATGAAATTGTGAGATGAATAATCATTCATTTAGTAATTAACCATTTAATCAGTCATTCTATTCAATTGAATTGAATTGATTAATAGTTAGAAACATTATATATTATATGAGTTTCTAGAATTCACAACTAATCATCAACAACAGATAACATCATCAATCAACACAATACTATCCTTTGAGGTGGTAATTTGGGTATGAGAAAGGGGTGATTTTATTACATTGAGTTAATTTGCATGGAGGCTAGCTACATCTCTATTGCATGCTTTATTTATAGGCTAACATTATCACACTATCATTGTCTTGTGTGTGATGATGTCATAACTATCACATTGTCGTCGTCTTGTGTTTGTTGATGTCTCTTGTCTCGTGTCACTAGAAAAATGGATGATGAACAACAAAGGCATAGGCATGATAAATCATCACAACAAGAGTCTATACGCAAAGAGAAAGGTAAGTAACAACATAGGGTCCAAAGTACACATTATGAAGTAGGCCAAGTGTCTCACACTGCTCTCGCACCTACTCTTCCATTATATGGACACCATGTTACTGAGAGGTAAATATTATATTTAATTATGATTTATCATATTTTTCAACATAATAATAATTTTAGGGGTGTGTCCGAAAGTTATCATCTAAATTCATACATGTAACTTTTACAAAGTATCTATATGTAAATTTCAACGACAATCAAATTTAAAATTATATAATATAAAAAATATTCTCATTTTTATAAATGCAATATTCAATCATACAAACAATTATACAAACTAAAACACATAAAAATTAGTGAAATAATCTAAATCTATTGGACATTCCGTAATATACTTTTTATATATTTGATTCATTATCATTCAATGCGTTAAACTCATAGTTCTTAACAAGAAAAGAAAATTTCTAACCAAATGATTTTTCTTCGACATGTATGTTTGTGGTAGAGTGCGGTTCTATATGTTATGCTGGTAATATCTTCTAATAGTTTTGACAATGACAATTCTTCAAATGATTTTTGATGATGACATCTTAATAAGAAAAAAAGATTTCTAAAGTCCCATTAATCAAACAAGCAAACATAAATTCAAATGTTAAAGTTTTAGATGAAAGGACAAATCAAAATTGAGTCCAAGGAACTTTCTGAATCAAAAGGAATTGAACTTAAGTTCTAATTGAAAGATTCAATCAAAGTCAAATCAAGTAGAAAGGTATTGAAGTTTGAAGTTTGGAAGTTGTGAAAGTCTGTACGATCATTTACTTATTATTTAATCTTGTTTTTCTATTAGTTAATTGTAAATGAAGAAATAGTAGGTCTTAAGACACACACAGAAGCACCCACATACACGCGTGCACGCGCGCGCGCGCACACACACACACACTTACACACATCTACGCACACGCGCACGCGTACACACACGTACTCACACACACTCACTCACACACATACATTATTTCAAAATTCTAATCTTTTTTTTTTTATGAAACTTCTTAAAATCAAGTCAGACAAGTGCTTAAACGATTAAGAAGCTTGTTTGATTAATTGAGAAAACAAAATGCACTGGTCAATTGACTAAGCATTGTTTATAATCAATTTAAATAAAGTGAAACACCTTTTAATCTATTAAGAAGCATTTTAATCGATTAAGTAACGCGGAAATTCAAAGTTTCTTTATTGGACTAAGCTTATCGATTAATGCATGGTTTCAATTTGTTAAAAGTTAAAAAGCATATGCATGCTTTTTTTAGACATATTTTTCCAATATAAAGGAGGCTTCTCTTTATTCCAAAATACACCAGTTTTCTGAATAAAAACTCCTCTATTATATTTTCACTACTCTATTATGTTATAAAGTTTTTTTCACTAGAGTTGACTTTTTGTCAAGGGAAAATTTTTATCTGAGAGATGTGTTGATTGATGATTGTTGAAATTGTTTATTCAAGAGCATAATTCTCTTGTTATCTTTTTGTAATAGATTTAAAAGTTGTAAGATAAACTTGTAAAAATCTTGGGTAAAGGTTAATGAGTTGATATTGTGTAAAAATCTAAGTTACTTTTAGAAGGTTATTGAGACGAGCCTGTGGAACCTTGTTTTGCAGGTAATATGATTTTAACAAGGAAATCAACTTTTGATGATGACAACTAATGTCTTTTGACAAGTCATGCATAAGTGGTTAAGTGGATAAAGATGCAAACCTAAGTATTAGAGTTTGATAAACTTGACTATCTGATGATGTCAATCAAATTGAATATAACTAAAGTCCCATCTCAAGCTACTCATGCAAGTGTATACAAAAGAGAAACCATCTCACAAAGTCTTGAAGTGCTAAGAAGCCCTTCTAAATTAGTAGTGAATGAATCAATTGTAAAGCATAAGAGCTTTATCATAAAAGTGCATGGCTAAAGCGCACACACACACACTTAAATATATTTTTAAACTGATTTTTACCAAGAAAATACCTTCAAAAATATCTCGAAGTTATGCTAGATGAATTACAAGCTGTTAAAATAGTTATGGGAAAAATTTTAACTTATCTAATCGATTAACACTTTTGTCTAATTGGTTAGCTCAGTTCAAATTGAGTCCCAAGCGATTAGGACATCGCCTTAATGATGTCCAATGGCTAGATATCTTTTCTTTTCTATTTTGAACTTACAACCAATTATATTTTGAATATCTAATCGATTGCAATTATGTGATAATTGATTAGATTGTCATAAAATGAATTTATTTAAAATTACTTTTTGATCCAACCTCTAGTCTATAAATATAGGTCTCTTCCCTTATTTTATTTCATCCAGAATCGTGTTTTAACACGACTCTCTCTCTATAAACTTATTTTTTACTTTCTCTCACTAATACTTTAGCCTTAGTGCCTTTGTAAGAAAAGTCATTTTATGAGTGAAAATTAAAGTATAATTCTGGAAGGATAGAATTGTAAGTTCACCAAGGAACCTTTGTTTATACCTTAGTTGAACATAATATCCATTTAGGTATTTTTGTTTGAGTTAGAAGCTAAACCCGTAAAAGCTTTGGATTTAGGAATTGTATGATCAAGTCTGTCTTTTAGATTCGAGATTAGCATGTGGTAAAATCTCTTTAGGTTCTTCGTAAACTCATGGTAAAACCAATATTAGATTAAAGCTTAGTCTGTGGTAAGAGCTTGGATAAGGTTCGAGATTATCCTGGTATTAAAATATCCTTAGTTATTGGTTAACCCGTGTAAAACCAAGTTTTAATATTTGTAAGCTCAACCCGTGATAAAAGCATGCAAGGTTTTAGAACTTGAAGACTAACCGCTCCAAGATTCTTATTTGTGGAAAGAAGACTAACCACTTCAACCTGCTGAGTGGAAAAAATACTCATCGCTTCGATTTATTGTTTGGAAGAGAAGATTCAAACCGCCATATTCTGAAATCTTGTATTATTTGGTTGGAGGCCAACCATATTTCCTTGTATAAGGGGGTTCGTGAGTACATCAAATTAAAAGTTCTCAAGTTTATTAGAAACTCTCAAGACCAGTTATTGATGAGAGGGTTAGGTTATTTTGTTTTTATTAAACCTCTATAATTCTCGGTGTTTTTCTTTTCCCTATCTTTTTAATTTTTGCAATTTATATTCCGCATTTTATTTCCGCTTCTAAGTATTTAAAAATGTTTCTAAAATTTTATTTAGCCCACAAAGTTTTTCAAACCAAGTTTTTCCCAAACCACACGATTCACCTAATCTTATGTGTAAAGTCACATGTCTAATAGAGTCTGTGTAAAAGCTCTAGGTTATTTGTGAAAGGTTTTTGGGTTAATCATTTGTAAAATCTCAAGTTGTTTTGTAAGTGTTTTGTTCCAAAACCAGAAATGATGATGATTGCAGAAACTACGGTGGAGCGAAGCTTCCGATGCACTACTATTTGACGACATTGTAGACCACATGTTGCAATCACAGTGCTTCTTGAATCAGAGGTATCAATGTTGATGAAATGATGTTAATGAGTGTTTGTTATCTTTGATACGATGGACCTAAGGGAGGGGGGATACCGGAATGGTTAGCACTCTAACATCCAAGTCAATTTAGGGTTCAATATAGTTATAGTGAAAGTGAAGAGTAGAGATTGTGTACCTGAAAACCCTTTTCGAAGGTATTTATACCTTGGGCCTGATGGAGCGGGTTGGATAATGAGACTCGTATTATTAGGCCTTTGGCCGACACAGAGCAGCATGTCCTGGGTCATTGGTCGGCACAAAATATTTTCCCCAAGACTCGTCGGAAATGTTTGATATCAAGGGAGTCATTTAGTAGTTGCAGTCTACCTTTGAGGATGTTTGTCCAGGCGTCGGCTGGCATGTGCCGCTTTGGTTTTGCCAAAGCGTGATGGGGATGTGAGAATTAAATGCAATCCCATTATTGAGATGTTTCACAGTTTTTCTTTGACGTGTGACTTAAGAAGGTATGAGGTAATGTGATGTAACTTTCTGTGTACTTGAGTACACTTGAGTATGGTTGTCTTCCCTAAATGAATTTTGACCATCAATTTACCCTTGTTTCCTGTTTTCGACCCGATCCGTATGATTGCCTTTGTTTATATAAATATGGAGAAAGATTGTGTAGAAAACTTTTACTCGTCCTGTAGACTGAGTTTCACATGTCTCTTTAAGTCATTCCTCTTATCTGAGAGCACTTTTCTTCTAGATTAACTTTCATTGCACGTTTATAATTTCAAAGCATTAAAGCTTCGAATTTTCAACCGTCTTCCTTGCTTCAACTCTTTTGGCCTCATATTTTAAGGTACCTTCTCTTCACCTCATATTTTACTCAAGTATTTATTGCATTTTTATTATGATGATTGATAATACTATTATTGTCTAGAGTGACTTGAAGAGTAGTGTTTCTTTGTCTTCGAAAATGGGAGTGAAGTCTAAATCACATTTCTTCCCTTATGTCATTGGGGATTCTAAACCAGAAATCATCTTTTTGAGTGATGATTAAAAAATGGAGGGGTTGTCTGGAGAATCTCTTTCAGATGAAGTTATTTCTAGAGGTTCTCCAGAGACTCTGTTCTCGGCAAAGTCTGACGAGGGTGAAAACCTTGTCGAGAGACCTATGCCTTCACATGTCTTGACCATGGTAGAAATAGAGGCTGCCTGTCAAAGGGGGGAATGTGCCAGTCGCTTTGTCAGAACATATCGGGAAGTAACTGTTCATGATTCCAGTGATAATGAAATATCTCGTCATATGGAGTTCCAGGGGCAGTATGATGTTGTGTCCTAGGCCAGTCCTAGTGCTGAAGCTGGTAAAACGACAAGCAAAAAATAAAGTATTATTTTTATTGGGTGATATTTAGGTTATATCGTATCGTGTCCACATAGATTGGTGTATTGAAATGCAATTAGACAAATCTCTTGTTAATGAGTTAAGGGTTTGAATGGGTTGAAAGGACAGGTAAAAGGTATCAACAAAAAATAAACGTATAAAAAGGAAAAAGGAATAACTTATCAAGCATGCATATATACTACTTCTCACAGACTTAAACCTATAGACATGTTATATTAAACCTACAATATTCATCAATGTCATCACATGTCAAACAAAACACCTACTGTATCACCTCAGTGGCGATCTTCAACCAACCTTAACAACACAAAAGTTAACCGTGCTCGCTTGCATCGACGATCTCTCAGAGCAGCACAAACAACACAAAGGCATTAATCACATAAACCCTAAGTGAATAACAACGCTAAATCTATATCTAGAATTAAGACACTATTAAATAATCATCCTAGATAAGAATCCAAGCAGTATATGTCTATAGCAACTCAAGTCCCTAACATAGAGCAAAAGTCAAGGATAACAATTAACAAAGATTTGTAAAGCAAGTTTTATATAACGCCAAGGGAGACAGATATACATGAGTTCAAAGAAAATACATATACAAACCCAAACAATAGAGAGTAGACAAAGAAAAAGAGAAATGAACCACAAATCTACCGGTTTGTCAGTGCCGATCGAAGAGCAATCCACCCTGGATAATCCGTATGCAAGCTCCATAGTTGTTATCTAAGCTAATCCTAACAAAGTTGGAGGTTGATGGAGTTGGGAGCAAAAACTTCCCCAAAAACATAACAAAAAATGAACTAAAAATGAAGTTATAAAAAAATCTCAGCAGACCACACTAAGCCGACTGCACGATATTTACACATTAAACCAACCTAAATCGCGCTAAGCGGGCTCCAAAACAATGCTTCTGCCAATCTATCAAAACTCAAGCAGTGCGCCTCAAAATGCGCTGAGCGCACTCGCGCTTAGCGGCCTTCTGTGTGCTAAGCAGACTCTCCTGGGCAAAAATTCTCAAAACGGGTCTTTTATTCCGAAAACACGCATTCGAAGTTGTGCCTTTGACACCTTATTCCTCGATGCTCCAAAATGTAACAAATACCTATAAAATGAATGGAAAAATATCAAACGACACATTATGTACACAAAAACACAAATAAACACAAACTAAACGTATTTACACAAAAGTCGGGTTTATTCAACGGCTATTAACAACAAAGATTCGATAAGTGCAACAAAAAGTATATACAAAAATAACTACAATTTGCACTTATCAAACTCTCCCCAACTTGAACTTGTTTGTCCTTAAACAAGGCCAAACAACTCAAAGAACCAAAAGTAATCAACCAAAATATCATGAATTAACAAGTTTTAAAACGAAAAAAAATGTATGGTTCAAACAAAAATTCACACGCAAGGTAAATACTTATCACAATCCTACAAATACAACAGGTAAACGAAACGAATCCTAAGTACAAAAATCTTACTAAACATTCTAAAACAAAACAAGCTCAATCATGAATCACACCTAGTAAAAATTCATCGGTAGATGAAGAATACACAAAGGTGAGGGATAAAAAACACTCATCCACAATCTTGCAGACAATAGACTAAATATGTATTCATCCAAAAACTCATATTAAATACAAAGTCAAGAATCACAAGGGCTTTTCAAGGTTGTAATGTGGCTTGGTTAACAAACAAGAGATAAGTCCTAAAGCTAATCGGAAAAAAACTTGCCTTAACCTAAGGAAGTGATCAACTCACAAAGACTCAAGCAAAATAATTTCAATCAAACTTCTTCTTCATTCCAAATTTCAAACCAACACACATCACTTATTATCACAATATTATTCGAACTCTTTTTGTTTTTCTTTTTCATAACTTTTCTCTTTTTCTTTCTTTTTCTTTTCTTTCTATTTCATTTTTTCTTTCTTTTTTTTTTTCTTTTTTTCTTTCTTTCTCAACCTCATGGTAATACAACATAAGCACATAAACATTCCTCCCCCCAACTTGAATTCAACCATCATCATAATATGAATACTCCCTACTTTCTAAGGCAAGGCAAAAATTCAAACTATAAATCATAGTTTAGGGTTCAAGAAAACAAAGAATCGATGTCCATACAAAAATACGAACTAAACACTCATAGACAAGCATTTAGCAAAAACAACATGGACATTGACAAAAAGCTCAAAGGGATTAACAAAAGTTCACACACTCACAAGGTGAATTGACTATTTTGCCAAGGTAGTTGTGCTCAAAATTAAACAAAAAATTTCTTGATCACGTTCATGCTTTCATACAATCAACACAAACAAAATATTAAATATAATAAAATCCAGTTAAAACAAGAATTGTGGCCTCTAGCATATATGAACAATGGAAAGATTGCTCACATTTATGGGTAAAAATGGAACTAAAATGATTCAATCAAAAGAAAGTAATACAAAAAGAATGAATGACATGGTAATTGTACAAATGAAAAGTTTCCTAAACATGTTATGTTATAGAAAACGATAAACGAGTACCTGGTGAGTACCAACTTCAAAAACTATCATTACCATACATCTACAAGTTTACACACTCAAAATCGGAAAATCACCAAATGCGACTTCAAGTTATCTAACAAAAATTTGAGTCCAAACAACAAAAGAAAGAATTAAAAATATTACTATTAATTACTATACTATAAAGCATTGGGTGAAGTGGGGAAAAAGGAGAGTCAAGTGAAAATTTAAAAAGAATTCACTGGCTCTGCACAGCAGGGCGTGCTAAGCGGCACAGAGCGTGCTAAGTGTGCTATACTAGTTGCAGAAAAATAGGGCAGTTGGTGCAGCTGCTATGCAAGCTCCACTTACACCTACATAACCTCAAACATACAATATTTACAACATACAAACTTTCTCAAGCTAAACACGACAAGCTTGTGGAAAAACACAAATTGACATAACGAAACATACAGTTGAAAGTTAATTAACAAGTTGAAAAGTGAAAATTTGAGAATTTAAAATAGGTCCAATTTCAACTTGTTAAAACACAAGTCAACACATACATAAACGAATACAAACAAAACATGCTTGTTTTACGTTGTAAGCTCAACACCTTAATTGTGCGAGATAGTAACCTCGTCTTGTCATGCCATGGTATTGTCACACCGTGCAAACCTAAATAAAGTTTACTCACAACCACACAACAAACGTTACAAAAACGAGACAATTCATAATAATACGTGAAAACAAAGAAAAACACATATATGCACAAGTATGGAAAGTAAACACAAAACATTTACAAGTAAAAATAGACAATTTTATGTACATATTCTATACAACATATACATTAATTACAAAACTAAAAAACAAATAAACTATCGTAATGCAAAACAATAAACACCAATCCCCGACAATGATGCCTTTTTGATAAAGCGGTAAAGCGGCAAGAAAAAAGTAAAGTATTATTTTTACCGGGTGATATTTAGGTTATATTGTATCGTGTCCACATAGATTGGTGTATTGAAATGTCATTCAACAAATCTATTGTTAATGATTTAAGGGTTTGAATGGGTTGAAAGGACAGGTAAAAGGTATCAACAGAAAATAAACGTATAAAAAGGAAAAAGGAATAACTTATCAAGCATGCATATATACTACTTCTCATAGCCTTAAACCTATCAACCTGTTATACTAAACCTACAATATTCATCAATGTCATCAGATGTCAAACACAACACCCACTGTATCACCTCAGTGGCGATCTCTCAACCAACCTTAACAACACAAAAGTCAACCGTACTCGCTTGCGTCGATGATTTCTCAAAGCGGCACAAACAACACAGAGGCATTAATCACAGACACCCTAAGTGAATAACAATGCTAAATCTATCTCTAGAATTAAGACACTATTAGATAATCATCCTAGATAAGAATCCAAGCAGTATATGTCTATAGCAACTCAAATCCCTAGCACAGAGCAAAAATCAAGGATAACAATCGACAAAGATTTGTAAAGCAAGTTTTATATAACGCCAAGGGCGAAAAATATACAAAATTTCAAAGAAAATACATATACAAACCCAACCAATAGAGAATACACACATAAGAAGAGAAATGAACCACAAATCTACCAATTTTCCAGTGCCAATCGAAGAGCAATCCACCCTGGACCATCCATATGCAAACTCCATAGTTGTTATCTAAGCTAATCCTAACAAAATTGGAGGTTGATGGAGTTGGGAGCAAAAACTTCCCCAAAACCATAACAAAAAATGAAGTTATAAAACAAACCTCAGTAGACCGTGCTTAGCGGCTGACCGCGCTAAGTGGGTTGCACGATATTTACACATTAAACCGACCTAAATCGCGCTAAGTGCGCTATCCGCGCTAAGCGGGCTCCAAAACAATGATTTTGCCGAAATTTCAAAATGCAAGCAGTGCACTACAAAATGCGTTGAGTGCACTCATACTTAGCGGCCTTTTGCATGCTAAGCAGGCTCTCCTTGGCAAAAATTCTCAAAACTGGTATTTTATTCCAAAAACTCGCATCCGGAGCCGTGCCTTCGACACCTTAGTCCTCGATGCTCCAAAATGCAACAAATACCTACAAAATAAATGAAAAAACATCAAACAGTACACTATGTACACAAAAACACAAATAAACACAAACTAAACATATTTACACAAAAGTCGGGTTTATTCAACAATTATTAAGAACAAAGAGTCTATAAGTGCAACAAAAAAATATATAGAAAAATAACTACAATTTGCACTTATCACCTAGTGAGCATCATATAGCTAATATATTAGCCTGTAAGGTTCTTTGATTAATAGAGCTGACCAATTCTAATAGATACTATTGGGTGGCCGCCAAAATAGTCAATACTAATTCTATTTTAAACAGCGTCGATGGTGTGACCATAGTTGACATCCCAGTTGGCAATC